GGGCGGGGTATAAAAGGTGCGCGCAGTGCGGCGTGCGGCCTCACACTCGCGTCCGCCATCAACCGACAGGTCGCGCCGCCCGCTGCCTGCCCCCGAGAACCCTCGACTAAAAGAAAGGAAAAAAATAAGTATGTGTACGCTTTTATTTCGAAGGGTTTGGGGTAACAAAACTCGGTTTACCTCGCGATAATGTTTTAAATTGGTGGTGTTGAGTCGATTGTGGTGTTTTATTTCGCGATTTTCTGTGCCGGGGCCCTCGGTTCGCCGCCGGCGTCTTCCCGGCTGTGGCTGATGGCGGCCGCGCGGTTTTGGCGGCGGCGTTTATTTAGACTCTCGCTGTGAGGCGATGTAAGATCATTTTAGTGTTTTTTTTTAAGGTAAATAGGTGTTTGCGTTACAAAAGGGTGTGTGTTTAGTCGACCCCTGCTTGAATTTAAAAATATATATTTGTAGCGTGGTGACCGCGGCGGCTTTGTTTAGTAGCAGAGTCAGCCAGAGCTGCTTGTAAAGCGAACGCCGATCGGGTGTTGAGTTGTGTTCACGACGTCGTCGTCTTAACCGCGTGGAAGGAACTAGAACTTAATCCTCCTTCTCGGGAGGGGGGCGGCTGCTGCTTGATGATCTCTTGCGCTCCAGAGGTCGCCGGCTCGATTTTGCGCCACTGCCAACGCATCGTCGTCTTTAATAATTGTAACCTATTTAAGTTTATTCAGTTACTCGGTCGGCCTTGCGACGCGGCGCTACCGCCGTGGGCGCTTTGTGTGCGTGGAGGTGCCGCGTGTCGGGTCGCGCCACGTGGTGGAGGGAGCTTCTTTAAAGAAGCCGCCGCAATGGGTCTCGATGTGCCCTCGTGAGTCGGCTAATACAGAGGGCAGCCACCAGCTTAGACTGCGGCTTGTCGAAGAGCCCTCGTGTAACGAGACGTCTTCGCGTATTGTTACGCGATTTAAAAAAAACAAACCGTCCGCATGCGCCTACTGGATAATTGTAAGGGGGGGGGGGGAATAGCGTAATGGCTCGTGGAGGTAATCTCCAGGATTGTAAAGGTTCTGATAGTAATTGTGGGGCTGGTTGTAATTGTGGGGCGATGGTTGATGGCGGCGGCGGTGGTTGGGAGGGAGACCGACCGGCTTCAGATTCCGCCGGCGAACAAAGACCGAGACGGGGGGGGAGGGGCGGGTCACGTGGGAGGCGGGGGGGGGGGCAGCGTGAGCCCCGCCCCCTGCAGGCCGCCATCCGGTCACGTGGGCACGAGCGCCTCGTGCTCGTTCCGGTTCCGCTTTTGTTGTGGGCGGGGCTGTTAGGGGCACGTGGGTGGGGGGCGTGCTTATCGAGGGGGGGGGGGAGGGGTTTTTTTGAGGGGGCGTTCATGTTACGGGGGGGCGGGGTGGTGGGGGTGGGGGAGCAGTAATGGAGCGGCTTCGAATAAAAAGTTACTAATTGGAGGAATCGCGTGAGCTTGTAGAAGCTCTTGTTCTCGCAAATGTCCAGACAGAAGGTTGTGTGGTCGAATCTCGCGAGTGTGGAGGCGGTGCGATGAAAGTAAACTCTGCGATGGAATATTTAAGCGGACGCTGGGACCATTGTTGAATCTAGTGGGGGAAGGGTGGTGGTGAAGTTGCGGTTTTGATGGTAAATGCGCGGCTCTTCCCGAGCCCGGGTTGCTGCTGTTGCGGATTTCGCTTGCGTGCCAAAGGGCCGAGCCGCTTTGGGAGAGAGGGGGTGTGGTTGTTGCGTAACTCGTTGCTGCGACTGCTGGCTTGTAAACCTCGAGAGGGGTATGGGAGGCGTAACTGCTGTGTACCTTTTTGTGGTTGGCTTGGCATGACGACATACGTCTGACGTGTTGGCCCGCAGCCACAAATGCACCCGAGTACGCGATGTACTCGCCAAGCGGAAATAAGACCTCACATGTTGATTCTCGGATAGACTTTTTCAACTATTAAAAAAAAATTCTAAAGAATTACGTATTTCTATGGGTGCAACGTTTAACGCTTAAAATTAACAATTTTTAATATTTAATGTTTTCTTTATGGTTATCGAGATACTTTTTTTTTTATGTACATGTGTACATTTACACATGCCATGTGCACATGGCAATTCTGACTGAATTTGTTCCCCCCCCCCCCCCTCTCTGGTGCAGACATAAAAATAAAGCAAACATGTCGAAGGGACCGGCAGTAGGGATCGACCTTGGCACCACCTACTCGTGCGTGGGAGTGTTCCAGCACGGGAAGGTGGAGATCATCGCCAACGACCAGGGGAACCGCACCACGCCCTCCTACGTGGCCTTCAATGACTCCGAGCGCCTCATCGGTGATGCAGCCAAGAACCAGGTTGCCATGAACCCCACCAACACCGTCTTCGGTACGTGTGAATATGTTTTCCCCACAAGATCTTAATTGTTGGTTTTTTGTGAGTGCAAGGGAGGGGGGGTATCTTAATATTCACTACGGTGGCTTGAGTGTATGGGTGTGTGCATGCGTTGGCTTGCAAGCATTTAAGTCGACAAACCTTGAATTTTTTACATTTGAGCTACCTCCTGGCTGTTTACGAATAAGCCCTGAATTCTGCTGGTGAAATAATTGCTAGTTACAAGGATGTTCCCCCAATCACACTTTCTGCAGAAATATCTGCAATTAATGATGCACCACTAAATAAAAAACCTAGAGTGCATTACTGACAATCCCGCATGTCTTGTTAATGGCCACAGTGGCCATGACAGTTGCTGACCTAAAGCTACGCTTAACCTTGGCACTGAACCAATCCCATGGGTCTACAAGAAAGCGCTGCTCTTAAGTGATGGTCACTTTATTTAATTGCAGATGCCAAGCGTCTGATTGGGCGCCGCTTTGATGACCCGGTGGTTCACGCCGACATGAAGCATTGGCCATTCACGGTGGTGAGCGACGGTGGGCGACCCAAGGTGCAGGTCGAGTACAAGGGCGAAAACAAGACCTTCTACCCAGAGGAAGTCTCCTCTATGGTGCTCACCAAGATGAAGGAGATTGCAGAGGCCTACCTGGGAAAGGTAATGTCCTGACATTTCATGGCTAATCTGTCTTTAAATAATTGGTGGGGGGGGGGGTTATGAGTGCTGGAAGAGATTCTCACGTGCTTCGTAGGCTTACCATCGTCACTTGTAAGTGAGCCAAGTACTGTAGTACTTGGATGTCGTAAGGACATGTTGTGAAAGAGAACTGCACCACTTCAAAGACAAGTGGTGTTATCTCCTTTCTTTTCATCATTGTTACTTAAAAGTACACTAACAATTTTGTGCTGATTTTGTGAATACGTGAACGCTTTAAATAGGCTCTGTTTTTCAGAGGCTGACATGCACCTGCGCTTTGCCTCATTCCCAGACTGTAACAAATGCTGTGGTGACTGTACCGGCCTATTTCAACGACTCACAGCGGCAAGCCACCAAAGACGCCGGCACCATTGCAGGGCTGAATGTACTGCGTATTATTAATGAGCCAACAGCAGCAGCCATTGCCTATGGCCTGGACAAGAAGGTAATTATGCACGCCTGGACACAAGTGCTGATGTTGTAGACTGTTCCATTTTTGAATGTGTAAATGGTTGTATATTGTTGCATGGTTTTAATTTCTGCTTTTTTTTTGTTGCCGGTTTACTTTCGCTCTGGACATGAGGTACAAAAGGTGATATATGACGGGCACACTTGAATCCACCCTTATTTCGCAGACATTCTCATGCAATGCATTTATGGAAAGGTATAGAGACATTTTACTCATTGTTATTTGAATTGAATGACCCTTACAACTTTTAAAGGGGATTAAATTTGTTAAATCGCAACATTGGCTCAACCTTTATTTGAGGTTAATTTGGATTGTGAGCATCACTAAGCTGGTGTAACCAATATTTTGGATGGAAATGCATTGAATGAGGCTTTCAGTAAGAAGTGATTTTTATTCGGGGTGAATCCAAGTAATATATTGCACGACATTTTAATCGCAATTGTTATTTTGTAAATACGCCGGTTTGCAGTCGTACGGCTATTAAAACCGTAAACAATTACGCTTCAGGTTGGCGGGGAGCGCAATGTCCTCATTTTCGACCTGGGCGGCGGCACATTCGACGTGTCCATCCTGACCATCGAGGACGGCATTTTTGAGGTGAAGTCGACGGCGGGCGACACTCATCTTGGTGGCGAGGACTTTGACAACCGCATGGTGAACCACTTCATCCAGGAGTTCAAGCGCAAGCACAAGAAGGACATCAGCGACAACAAGCGCGCCGTGCGTCGCCTGCGCACTGCCTGTGAGAGGGCAAAGCGCACCCTCTCCTCGTCCACTCAGGTATGGTTGATGGACTGCTCTCCACCTCGGCACACGTCTGAGCCTCTAAACCGTTTTAGGTAATACATTGAGGATGTACTATTGATTTGTTTCTGGGAACGTTTCTTGAAATTTTTACACTTGCACAGTTGTGATGCGAACATTTTTCTGTGGGGTTGGCAATTTGCACATCCAACTGTAGATTACTTTTTTTCCACAGGAAAATCTTAATGTGTAATGCTTTATTCCCTATTTGTCCTTAAGAAACTAATACGAGAGAATTGGTGTGCATAAGTTAGGAATTAAAGTTTGCCTCGAGTCGAGTGGCTTTGTCGGAGTAAATGAACATCTAACTGTCCTTACAGGCGAGCATTGAGATCGACTCCCTGTACGAGGGCATCGACTTCTACACGTCCATCACGCGTGCTCGCTTTGAGGAGCTGAACGCCGACCTGTTCCGTGGCACCCTGGAGCCCGTGGAGAAGTCTCTGCGTGACGCCAAGCTCGACAAGGCCCAGATCCACGACATCGTCCTGGTCGGTGGCTCCACGCGTATCCCCAAGATCCAGAAGCTGCTGCAGGACTTCTTCAACGGCAAAGAGCTGAACAAGAGCATTAACCCTGACGAGGCTGTTGCCTATGGAGCTGGTAAGCCTTGGCAGCTGAGAAAAAAAACACATTGCTTTAAAATTGCAAATTGAATCGCTGTGATGATGGATTCCATACCATTCGTAGTTTCCACCAGAGACCGTCACAGGTCAATGATGGCCTAACCTTCCTTGGATGTCTGAGCGATTTAAAAATTGTAGTTTATTTTTTTATTTCCAGTAAACGTACAATGAACAGGAGCTAATGCTGCGCGTGGTTTTAAAATTTAGCTGTGCAGGCTGCCATCCTCTGCGGAGACAAGTCCGAGAACGTCCAGGACCTGCTGCTGCTTGACGTCACCCCGCTGTCCCTGGGCATTGAGACCGCCGGTGGAGTGATGACTGCTCTCATCAAGCGCAACACCACCATCCCCACCAAGCAGACGCAGACATTCACCACCTACTCTGATAACCAGCCTGGTGTGCTCATTCAGGTATGTTACCACACCAGCTGCTTGCAAAAATACCTTATGCCTTGGAGCATAATGATTAGCTTCTTGCTTTATAGGAGCGTGGATTTTGTGTAGTTTACATATAATACCCAAGTGGACTTTTCCATATCTATCTTTAAGTGTGCTCGATGGTACTGATTGCTGTGATGATGGATTCCATACCATTCGTAGTTTCCACCAGAGACCTACACGGGTCAATGTTGGCCTAACCTTCCTTGGATGTCTGAGCAATCAAATACCATTTTAATATACTTGCAGTATTGCTTCTTAGATTTGGCAATCAAACTCCACCTGTCTGCGATTTACAGGTGTACGAGGGTGAGCGTGCCATGACCAAGGATAACAACTTGCTGGGCAAGTTCGAGCTGACGGGCATCCCTCCTGCGCCCCGTGGAGTCCCTCAGATTGAAGTAACCTTTGACATCGATGCCAATGGCATCCTCAATGTGTCTGCTGTGGACAAGAGCACTGGCAAGGAAAACAAGATCACCATCACCAATGACAAGGGTATGTGGAACATCCGATTGTCCTTTTTTTTACATAACACCAGTAGCTTTGGATTTCACTGCACAGAGCTAAGTTGTATGAATTTTGACTTACAACTTTTGTGACTGCAGGAATTCATATTCTTTGTTTCTTTTGGTAAAGTCACGTTGATAAAAAATAAATGTTATGATTCCTTGTTTTGTCACAGGTCGTCTGAGCAAGGAGGACATCGAGCGCATGGTGCAGGAGGCGGAGCGCTACAAGCAGGAGGATGAGAGCCAGCGCGACAAGATCTCCGTGAAGAACGGCCTCGAGTCCTACGCCTTCAACCTCAAGTCCACCGTTGAGGACGAGAAGCTGCAGGGCAAAATCAGCGACGAAGACAAGAAGAAGATCCAGGACAAGTGCAAGGACGTGCTGGACTGGCTGGACAAGAACCAGGTGAAGTGACGCACCGGGCAGACGCCGTGGCATAGCCTGGATACATTGTCAAGGTTTATGGTTGTCTGAAGTGCAAAGTATATAGCCCTTTGCCTGGAAACTAACTGGAGGTGAAGGCAATGTTTTGCCTTCACCTTTACAAGACTTTCTTGGCTTCTTAGATGAACATTGCTATGATGATGGATTCCATACCATTCGTAGTTTCCACCAGAAACCTCGGTTGATGATGGCCAATCCTTCCTTGGATGTCTGAGCAATGTCTATCGAGAATACCACGTTATTACTAAATAGTGTTTGTTGACATTGTTAAATGTGGTTGTAATCTTATTGGTTTGCCCGGGGACTTTGCATTGCAGACTGCCGAGAAGGAGGAGTTTGAACACCAACAGAAAGAGCTGGAGAAAATCTGCAACCCCATCATCACGAAGCTCTACCAGGGTGCGGGTGGAATGCCTGGGGGGATGCCCGGTGGCTTCCCAGGGGCTGGTGCTGCCCCGAGTGGTGGTGGCGGTTCCTCATCCGGCCCCACCATTGAGGAGGTGGATTAAATACGGGCCAGTAAACCAGATGCTGCAAATCCCCAAGTTAACACCATGGCTAGACAAGCAAATCAAATAGGACCTTGTACAATTGTTCTTCCCCCAATACCTTTTGTACTTTGCCGTTGCCCACAATTTATCTTAAAAAAGAATTGTCACGGTTTGACCCTGTTAATATTTAAATTGCAAGTTTACAGATTAAATGTACTGTGGGATCCTTGCATGTCCATCTGGTTCCCAGTCGTTCTTCAGCAAGGTGTTCCAAGTCTGAAAGTTTTGGGAAATTTGGCTCTTGTTTAAACTAGATGTACGATTTGAGTTGTAACCAACAAATAAATTGTTAACGAATATTTGCAGTAACATGGCCAATAAACTCTTAGCATCTGGTGCTGTGAAGCGCTTATGAGGACCAGCACATGCATACGAGCACTGTTGATGTATGTGGGGTGTATGTGAACACTTGTTTTGAATGTCTAGTCCTTAAATAAAGCAACCAACAATGCGTGGTTGTGGTGTCCTTTAATGTGGAGTTTTTTTTCACATGTACTGTAATGCACTTTGAAATGGCCAGTACGGAGAACACTCGAATAAAAAAACATTGTTTATAAACAAAATTCATTGAATAAAAAATGTTGGCACTGGACAAATACTTTTAAGTTTTACGGGTTTAAATACCATGCACTTTTTTGCGAGCTGGTAGGGTGTTGTGTGCTGTTGAATGGTTCTCGCCAGCGGTTAATATGGCGCACCATGGTTCGCCAACCCGAAATGAGCATTGTTGGCTTATGGTGGCTTTAAATAAAGACGTTTGAAGGGAGTTTTAGTCGTTAAGCTTTGGATCTGGCGAATGTCAAGGTTTAATTTGAGGCCACGCTGAATCCTGGATAAATTGGTACCCATCTCGCTCAACGCGTCCCTTACACCGTTGATGTCGTGTGTAATTTGAAAAATAAGTTCTTAATTGGACCTTTTCACATGGTTTTAATTTTCCAAAACCTAATCGTTTTGCTATATGGTGCCACTGCAGTTTCTTCAGTGAGCATGGTTGGCTACGTACAGTGCGAAAGAGTTCAACATGGATGTCCTCAACCGCGAGGGTCGTTTAAAATTGGTTTTGCCCCCTTTAAAACTAGTACGTTCTCCCCTTGCACGGCAAACGTGGCACAGATGATGCCTCGTGTAGTTCCCTTGTTGAAGATGGTTTTTCATTTCTAAACATTAACTTCCTATGTTTGAACTACGAAAACTGGCATCTGGTAGTTTGAATGTTAAGCTTCAAAACTCGACTACCTGTAACACTCCGTTTAGCCAAGTAAGCGCAATGTGGGCGCCTATCAGGTACGACCTGTCCCAACGAAGTATGTAGACGGCCAATTATAATGTGGAGGGAAAGACCTGGAGAAGAATCTACGCTGGCGCGGATAGAATAGTAAAACTCGTACGCGATTGAACTCAACCTGTGTGCGAGCCGGTTAACGTCTCGCCAATGCAGCGAATCCACTTCCTGAACTCCACTCGTCATTTTTCCTGTTCCCCGGGAGTAAAGTACGGGTTTTTGAAGCTGAACTTGTATCCTGGCTTGTAATTTTTAATGAGGGATTAAGTGAACTGTCATCTGCAGTCGATCATGTCGATGGAAGGTAGATCTTTAAGGAAATTATTCTTGGGAATTGAAAATGATCCTTGCAGAAGGCTAGTTCATGAAGTCCCTATACTGATCAGGAACTCTTACTCCAAAGTGAGTATACTTTTATCACGGCATAGCAATGAGGTCTGCAAAATGCGATAATTGCATTTACAAGATGGATTGCCATTTTGTTAGGACGAGTACCTCCCGACCCAATGTCTAAGATGGCACGGTGTAGGTGCTGTATGATATATTTAGAAGCCTGCAAAGAACTTGCAAATTCTGGAGTACATTGTAAGCACAATAACCCGATACACCATTGGGAACATAAGCCTTGGAGGTAATAACCCGACGTACATCATGCACGCTCGATATTGGGTGTTTCATCTGCCTGAAAACTTAATTGCTGGAGCTGTCGTTTATAGCAATGGTAACCTTATGATAGAACAAGTTTGTTAAATTAACAAAAAAATCTCACTTTAATGTATCGGGTCAGGCCCACTGAGCTGATATAGCTATTTTCATCAGCTCTGGCTACATGATAGCTCAACGAAGTTGGCTTGTGGCAATGTATGGCAGACAAATATTTGAGAACCATGCTTATAAATGTGGAGGGGAAAAACCGGAGGACCCGGAAAAAAAAATCCACGCGACCACGGGGAGAGAGAGACACGCAGACTCCAAATATACAGCAGCAGGCGTCAGGATCTGGATCGAACCCACGACCTCCTGTATACCAGCCGAGGTAGTTAGCATCTCGCCATTTCTTCAGAACTGCATTTTGTTTTTAGTTGGCCTCACGCACCTCTGATTAACACGGTTGGCTACGTACGGTGCGAAAGAAGTTCAACATACAAATGGTTATGCGAAATAGAGCAGTGCTTCGCAACCTCTTTTTCATCCCACGGCACTCTTTCTGAGCGTTACTCGATCTTCGCGGCACACCGAACCAAAAACAAAGACATCCTCTTAGTTTTTTCGGTAAAGTCATGTAGGTAAAAAATAAAAATAAAATTAATAGAAGTAATAATAGAAATAAAATAATAAATCACGACGTTTTGGAGGCAACACAAGTCTCCGTCATCAGGTGGGACCGTCACAGCTAGATGTACTGTATCAAGTGAGGCGATACAGTAAATCTGTCTCACTTGAGACAGTAAATCTAGCTGTGACGGTCCCACCTGATGACGGAGACTTGTGTTGCCTACGAAACGTCGTGATTTATTATTTTATTTATATTATTACTTTTAATTAATTTTTACCTACGTGACTTTACCGAAAAAACCTAAGAGGATGAATCCTTGCAGTCACGAAAGCTTCAAATCTAAAACAAAGCCATCGTGAGGCCACGGTTGGGGCCCCATGGTGTGGGTGTCGCAGAGAGGTCGCGGGACTTTCCCGTTCGGTTCTTTCCGAAGACTCGAGATTGTTTCCTCATGCCGACGATTCTTCGGCACATGGCTGAGGAGGAGCGCTGCTGTCGAAAGGGGGGGGCGCTCTTTAATGAAGCATGGCGGGTTATAAAAGTATGAAAACTCAGAATAGGTTTTACCCCTTCTGGCAATAAAACCAGGTGTTAAGATGTTCAAACACCAAATAGAAACCTTTTCCGAGGAATCAACGACTGCATTAACCACGCGTGAACATGCAAACATTGGCAGAGCATGTTTTGTTTGCATGTTCACCACGACGTGTAGTTGATGCACTCCGTACTTGATTTCTTGCAAAAAGGTTTCTATTTGTTGTTTGAACATCGTCACATCTGTTTTAGTACCAGAAAGGGTAAAACCTCTTGTTGTTTTTCGTAGTTCGTCAGGTGGCGAGAGCTGCGTGGGTGCCTGAGAGCGGTGGTTCTCCACGTGGCAATGTCCCAGGGGCTACGTGAGCTGATTTATGAATGCGTGCAATCATACCATAACATCAAACTCAATGGTGAATAATCACATAGGAATCTGCCAATGTAAAATAACTACGATGCAAATGAAAATCCACGTGGCATAAATTTGGTTCCCAAGAGCAACCAGCGAACAAATGACGTCATGCATGCAGAGCGACTGTTGGACTCGCTAAGAGTACAACACAAGAATAAGGATTTACCCTTTCCTGGCAATACAATTCAGACGCTGTCTTTCCGACAGACTTGTTCTTCACCTGAGGACGGCTGCTTGCGTTGTGGCCGAAACGTCGTGAGAATTATTTTATTATTTATTTTTATTATTTTATTATCTCCCTTCTACGTGACTTTACCGAACGAACCAAGAAGATGAATACAATAGGTGTTAAGATGTTCAAACACTAAATAGTTAACTTTTTCGAAGGACTGCGGTCTATACGTATTTTGTACCTCACCAATTGGACATGCACCTTATGGCGGGACCCCGGGGTCCCGAATAAACGGAAGTAAAAATCGTAATTTTTTTTATTTTTGGCGATTCCGTCCCACCGCGCACATTAACGCATCGACCCACCCAGAAATCAATCTTCTCGTTCTTCACCAAGCACCCGTCTTTTCCAAAATTGCCGTAGTCACAAACTAAACTTGATTTTGATTAGCGCATCGTGCAGAGCTCGTCGAGAGGAATAGATATCCGTGTCGTTCGCCTTCAACAGACATCAAACGACGTCGCAACGCAGTTTACGCGAGAACCGGGGGCTTGTGGGACCCCGGGGTCCTGCCACGAGGTTCGTTTGGAGTACATATTGACGCTCATTATCCACGCATTTATTATCTCAGAACCATGTTGGGTCGGGCAAAGATGGTTTACTCGCTTGAAACAAAATTCAACAATATGACAAAAACAAGAATAGGATTTTACCCTTTCTGGAAATAAAACCTCTTGTTTTTTTAATATTGTGATACTGGCAAAAGGTCCCAAGTTAATATTCAACCAGGGTGGGTGGGTGGGTGTTGGGGTTACACAGTGGCCCACACAAGGTTGAGTGAGAACCAACTGACTTGGTCAGGGTGGGTGTTGGGGTTACACAGTGGTCCACACAAGGATGAGTGAGGACCAACTGGCTTGGTCACGGTGGGTGTTGGGGTTACACAGTGGCCCACACAAGGTTGAGTGAGGACCAACTGCATTGGTCA